AAGAGAAGTCAAAGAAGGCCATTTAAGCAATTACTAGATGGATATAAATTGAGGCTGAAACAGGTCAATTATTGATACAATCACCTCCGTCTATCGGCCGTGCAAGTTGGTTAAAGGTCACCGACATTTCAGGGCCATGTCTATAATCAAGGTCCTGATTATGGGGACAGAGATGGTCCCTCAAGCGTCTGTGAATTTTAACCCCTGACACGGCTGATAGACCGAGAAGACTTTTAATGTCAGTCAGTTGTCTTGAAAGCTTTAGATCATACAAGTAATTTACTGGCCTAACTTCGTGACCAGAAGAAAAATATAAACAACTCTGTATGTAAAAATTGTAATTATATAAAGATTAGCATGATTATAGCATAAACAGGAACACGCTGTTCTATTAGTGAAAGGGTAAAATGTTCCTCTTAGTCACAACGTTAAGATCGATTCTGGAGGCCATAAATCGGTAGCACACGGAGATCGCACAAGACATTTAGGACTGCTGACCATAACTAATGAATCACTGCAATGTGGCACAAACTATATGTCCTATATGGCAGGCAATTTATTACTATTAATGGCAAAATTAGTTATGAAACGACGCTACATGCAAGTTAAGATTGGCTGGTCTAGAGAAATGTAAATAGCCTTACATGCTCACGTCTCGTCAGTAAAGTCGTGACATCCTTCGAAAATGTGGCAATGTTCAAATGTTTGAGTGAGACAGCAGCAACAAATCAAAATGCATTCATAAATAAGTTAAGAACAAATTAAATTCGGGAAACGCTTGCAATTCAGAATCTTTTCTTGTCGTTTCCTGCCAAAAAACAACAATCATTTTTATAACATGCCTACAAGCAAGGTGTTCGTCCTGTCAATTACACATTTTGCACACACAATTCATAAGAATCAGATGCAATACTGTAACAGAAGAGGGCATTACCTATTGCTCTGTGTAGGTAGGTGTTGTTACTTAACACGTCCTTACACTGAGTTTCTGTTCTATGCGTTTCGTAACAAATCTGCCGCGGGACACCCACAAAGATATTGCAAGGTGACGAACTATGAAACTTGTCTCTGCTTATTTCGTAATGCAAAACCTGTTGCAACATTAGTTTATTTTAATGAAGAAAATGACAAAACAAGTGTATGTAACTCAAGGGTCACACAGAAGAACAGCGGAATCAAGTAGGGCCTATTTTATTGTGGATTATATATTTTATTTTGTGTATCATACTGATCTTTATGTTCACATACTGAGCATGCTTCGAAACTAAATCATACTACATTAAAACCTTGCTGATTCGGAACAATGGAGGAAGGGGTAGTCTGAACTAGTGAAAAATCTTAATAAAAGAGCATAATTAATTGATTAGTTAGCACTCGCCTTCATATTCTGAAGGTTCATGATTCCATTCTGAGTCCGGAGTACAACAATCCTAACTTGAAGTATTTAGAGGAATTCCTCTGCCCATTACGGAGATGTTCGAACCTCGTCTCAAACCCGGACATCATCCCTTGCATCCGCATCCTTCCTAACTCACAATTCACAATCACACTCCTGTACAACTATAACTGGGTGAGAAAGCAACGTTAAATAAAGATGCAAATAAACTTATTATTCGTAGTTCTGGTACCACGTAGTCCATTTCTCGTTCTTTATTTTGAAATTGCTATAAACCATATGTCATCATCAGTAAGCATAACAAATATAAGAAGAACCTTATAAAAATGAGCTAATTTAAATCAAGAATTTAAAGATATGTCATCTGACCACTCACGTCACGTTTTCAACTTGGCTTAATGATATAAGTTCGTGAATAATTGTAATTGAGTTTTAAATTTAATATAATTTTACTCCTGATGATGGTTTAATAAAACCGAAACATGTTGTAACTGTTCCAATTGTAAATCGATTATTCGATATGGAACACAGAATGATATTTTAATTATTTTAATTATCTTATTTTAAATACATTGTGATTTGACGGAATAACCAAATAATTTAATTTTAATTTAATAAATCACAATATGACGCAACTACACTATCTTATAGATATAAGTTCTTTTGTTACAATTTTGTAACAATACTTTTTTCATCCACGAAGTTTACCTCACGTATTACAAAGAGCAGTGACTGTTCCATGTTATTCTTACAAGAGAACGACCTCGGACAGAAAAGATCACCTCTATCTTTCTCTTTCGGTCACTACCCAAGCACCAAGGCACTTTTCATCGTCTAATGTTCAGTACAGTGACTTATGCTACAAGATGTGGACTCGCTTACACTATCGGTCAGTTACATGACACTTCGGAAAGTGACAGTGACAGCTGACAGTGATACATTACAGGCAATTGCCCTTTACACTAACACAACGTGTTTTTGTGATTCCAGTTCCAACAAGGCACTTGATTTGTTTGTAACTGTTAATTTCATTCTACGGAAACAAATAATGTGATGGTGGATTTTATCAACTTATAAGCGCAAAAGAGGAGTGTTTAATTGTGACTGGAATTTCCAACAAACGCAATGTTGCCAGAAAAAAACGCTAGTCTCCATAGGTATATAGGTAGGTACTTGTTTCACTGGGTTATAACTCAGGCAGATGTGTGGTTTCTAATATACAGGTGTGTGGATTTAGTGACTAAAATTCACGGCCCCTTTGATCGAAGCGTGAGGATACTGGATCAGCTCCTGCAAGAAGATGACGAAGAACATGCAGCTCTTGAAGACTTTCGTTTTGAAAACAACGAGAATGATGCTGTAGACTGGGCATTCAGTACATCGTATCGGTGGAGACAAGTCGGAAGACCAGGTTAGTTAACCCAGTGATGCCACTAATTCAAGAACGCAACGATTAACTTCCTTTGAAGGGTATTTTTCTTTTGGATTGGCTTTGCAGCCACTACAATTAGAGACGTCCGATGTTTCTCGGGGGTAATGCTTGTAGCACGTGAATATGACCACTCACTCATATGCAGTGCTGAGGTTACGAGATAACGTTTATCAGGACGTTCTTGTTCTAAAGATAAAGCTTGCGCATGAAGCAGTATCATATTATAAATCATTTAACGATCATCGTTTAAAATGAGAGACAACGCCGCTGCTGGCCCGTCTAAGGCATGCAAGCTGGGGTCTCGAGTTTTATTACCGCTAGAGGCTTCAATGTTCTCGTTTCCTTGTGTTGGCGTAATGGAAAGACCTTACAGGTGGCTTAGCCCCCGTTCATCGGTTCGTGCAACATGTCCGAAAGACTCAATCTTGGTCATAGCAAGTCGTGTTACGTAGTTCGTGAAGCTCTCATGCAAGATGGAATGTTTTAAAACAACTTCACTTGGGACCATAAAATAGAAAACCGATTAAAATTGCTAACTTGCATGTGGTTGTGGATAGGAAATACATTTTTCAGTTATTCTGAACAATATCTTTCTTTCATTGTAACAATACTGGTTTTTAAAAGTGCTAAACTGTTGGGATTTTTACGCAAGCACGGGCATTCATATCAATACAAAAATGAAATTGTAGGATTTGTGGTTGTCATGGCGGTGATTCCGAAGATGGATGACTTCTGGCGATGAGTAAGCCGTGCAATACCTGTTAAGCAGAATTTTACACACGAACATAAACCGGCTTTGTTCAGACAGCAGAAGCGACTGCCTGTGCGATGGCAACCGGAGTTTGATTCCCGACAGAGATTTATATCTTCGCTACTGGGTCCGGACCGGTTCTGGGGCCCACCCGGCCTCCTACCCGGTGGGTATCGGGTACTCTCTCGGGGATAAAGCGTCGTGAACGTGAAACTAAGCACTCACTTCCACGAAATGCCGAGGTTATGGATGCGTGACGTTCCCGCATACGTCTTCCTAGTGCAGTATATAAGAACGGGACAACTGTACATTCATTCATTCATAATTCCATTTTACCTACACTCCCCAACCATTTGTCTATCAAAAATGATAATATTTTGCATCAAAATCTTCTGCAGTTCATTTTACGGCAAACAAATTAGTGTCCTACCTGTTAATCATTACAAATAGCACCAGACTCCGCGACAGACGAGTGAAGCGACAAAAATAGTAAATCGTTTAAGACCCCGCCAGACTTCGCTGTAATTCCGAAAATCAATGGGTGAATTTCTGATTCATCACACAACTTTTGACGTAAACCACCAGTATCAAATTTAATCGAAATCCGTTATCTCAGAATTTAAACATGCAGACAGAAAGAGAAACATGGTCATCCTTTTACGTATTCATGTTCCAATTATTTCAAAGTTTGAGACTGAGAAGTCATGGCAGTTCTTACAGCTGCTAAACATTTAAAAGACATCAATGTTTCAGAATTACAGGACGATTTTACAATCCTGGCCATTGCACGTTAAAGTTTAAATTATAAGAGCTCATTCAGCACAAAGCATTAATGTTATATATTCCCTTTCACTTAGTGTTAATTTTAATTACAGATTGAAAAACGAAAAAAGGAAAACTAGTTTAACCAGTACCCAAGTAGCCGCTGATCTCTCAGTATTAAATCATAGATTAAACAACTAAAAACCATGTGTTCTGTGTAATTAAGCCTCCTTCCTCCCTCTCAGGTTTGAGAATAAGATTTTAGGGACTACGTTCTGAAATAATATTTACTCTGCACACTGTTTATTTCGTTTTATGTCCACAATATTTTTGTAGCCAGCCAAGAAACTGAAAGCATATTTACCTTCGCTTTCAAAACACAGGAACTCTGTTTCCGAATACAGTACACTCAGAATGGTAGGATGACAATGAATAAGTAATTAATAAAGATAAAACACTACATGATGAGCCATCACATAATCGAATCTGGTCAGTGTTTTACAATCTGATAGATAACTGCTCCACGCGGTTTCCATGCGACCTACTGAGATAATTTATCTTTCCTACTAGCCTCGGATAAGCCACTAACTACATCGGAGGGATGCGAAATAAATAAGGAAGCAAACACCAACACAGGCCCACCAAAAACCTGTCTTTCAACTTTATCAAATTAAGTTGTTTATTTTGAATTGCGTCATCGAATACTTCACTTCACACTCAGAGGTCAACGGCTTCCAGTTCAGATGTTCACAAAAAACACCCTATCAGAATGAGTACCTTCAAGTATTAGAATATGTCCCCCTCCGATCGCAAAATTTATATTATAAAAATAGTAGTCTCTGTGGTGTTTAAGTGCCAAACCAAGAAGACGTAAGAGACGGTTCTACATACAGCTTCGATCGCTTTGCCCCCGAGGAAAGAACTCTTTGTACCCAGTGGATAGGTGGTTGAATGAACCCAGAACCGACATCAGCATGGCGGCGCAGAGAAAAATTCCTTTCCTTGCCGGGAATCGATTCCCGTTCGTCCCGTCCAAACCAGTAACTTTACTAATTCATTTACCTTCATAAAACTGAAATAACTCCTTGAAAATCGAGCAGGTTAGCATAGCTGTTATGCATCTAACTTTTATTCGGCAAGTATTAGGTTATATATCCTGGTAATACAAACTGAAGTATCTCGTGGATTTTCCCACTAACTAGTCATGATTATGTGGAATGTGGTCTTCTGGGTTACGATACTGTAGTTTTCGGATGATTACAACAGTTCAGAAGAACCTACTACATCTATCTTCAGTGTGGAAGATCGAGGTGATACGTTTCTCCGAAACGTTGCTAACCCCCTACAAGAATACACGGCGTCATAACTCAGAAGAGGACAGTCCAAATTGTCAGATCCATGAATAATTAGTTGCTCTAGAACAAAGCAGAGCTAACTACTAATTGCGTATATCGAAACAGAAAGAAGCAGTGTGAAACTAACTGCGTCAAAACACAATATTGCAGTTCTGGGCAGGATAATTTGGTTACGTATATCGTAACATAATGGTTCACGGCGTAAGACCATCCCTGGAATGGAGAATGTCTAGCTTTTTCACACACTCTCAGACGTTTTAACAAGCCTCCGTATACGACGGAGATACCAACCCACTGCTACTCTTCTACCAGCATAACAGAAGAAAATGGACATGCCTCTAGTGGGATTCGAACCCACGATCATGATTCATGGCGTTCCACTGTGATTAGCTGCAATTACTATTTTAGACAGTCTAATTCTTCCACTATGTCGACACTTGTGTGGTCTAGTCCTAGATATGAAGGTTAAGAGAAAGTAATAACGAAATGAAGGACTCACTGTGCAGTGTTGCAAAGATGTGGACAAACTCCTAAGTCATTTACCTTAAAATCTCTTAGCAAGATGACATTTCGAGAAGCGTTTTCTCTCTCCTTGCATAGTTATAGAGCGTGTTGATTCTGTGAAATATGAACTTTTGAATTCGCAGAAATAGGTCGTAACCTACTGCAGACATTATTGCACTATACACAGTAAGCCCTGTAGACCAGAACACGAATGGGAACGTCTTCTCCTTGGAGTACACTAACATTCCAGAGACGTTCTTCACGCTACATCAAGGACGTTGACGTTAGCCGGGCAATCAAGTGAACAACAATTGCTGCAACCATATCAAATGAAACAACGTAATTCAAGCAAAGGTTAAAATATGCTTCAGCAAGTGAAGTTATTGGACCATAGCAGGCGGTAACATGGGTATCTGATCATGAAACAATTCCCCACGTAAAATTCTGATTCGAAACCTCAACAAGAATTAATTTCTGCCCCGAGTGCTAAGATTGTTATCTGAAAATCACCTATCTTCATTTAAGTCAAGGCTATTTTAAAGAGTTCTAATGAGTCCATTAATCATGTTCGTTTTTAACTCCTTCCACTTTCCCTTCAAGTTGTGTGACCGAAACTGTCGGTCACAAACAATCCACCTAAACAAGCATGGTACTCAAATTCAGATTACAAACACTATTCGCGTTACCAGTTGAACACAAGTTTTGTAACACGGAGAACCGTGTACGAAGCATGCGTGTGGATAACAATAATTTCCATGCGAAACTTCCTACCTAGGGTCCTTCACCTGTACACTACCATTGCCCTTTCATTCAAACAGTTGGTAATGACTGTCCAGTTTGTTACACGATAAGTTCAAGAAACCGCTTCGGTTACTTCCTTGTTAGTTAATGTAGCTAGAGTGATCTGACGAAATCGCGAGTATTGAGCCAGTTGCAAGACGGAGAAAACGTAAACCTTCAGGCGTTAGTATCTGCCACAACTGCTGTGACGTATGCAGACATCGGATATTATTATAGTAACATTATGTTGGACATTGTTCATTGTCTGAGGTATACTACGTCATGGGAGTTGGTTCTACTCACGTCTTCAAGTGATTGGCTGAACCTTTATTTATTTATTTTTTTTTTGCTTTTTGTGGTTTATTTAACGACGGTTTCAGAAAAAAGACTATATAGCGTCCGATGAGAAAATAAGAATAATGAACTGGAAGGGATTTGAAGGAAACGGTCGCGGCCTATATTAAGGTACTATCCCGGCATCTGCCTAGATGGACTAAGTAAAAGGACAAAAAGCCTGCTCCAAGACGAGAGGCACTGTATATGAAAAAAGCCCTATACCTCAAACAATGGGCGATGTCCAGCAAAGTGTTCCCACAATAAAGCAGCTATTGTCGCAATCCTTTAGAAACTCGTCAGAATTTACTTCCCAAGAATGAAGTTCGGTGAATTTACGAAACTTTAAAATGAGATAAACAATAAAGCCTCTAATAAAACGACAAAAATTGTTATCCCTAAACGTATACATTGGCGAATACATCTGTAAGACTGGTCATCACCAAATAAAAACATACCTATATCAATATTTTCAAGGTTCGGAACTTCGAATACACTAAAACTCTGATAGTGAGAAGTCATGCACTGAACAATGAACTCGGTAATAATGCATTTAATTACTTGCTTCACAAAAATTTTGTTTTGCAGAAAGCAGTATTAATCCTCCAAAGCTCATGTTAAGACAATTTTAAATCCACAATTGTTTGCACAAGCTAGTCGCCTAAACTTGAAATAAAATGTTCAATTTAAAGTGGTAAGATACGTAATCCCAAATACATATTTTTGAAATTATTACTGAGCATCCTTTTCAAACCGATAAGAGTGAGTTCGTGGCCAGTACCAATCTTCTGTTCAAAATTTGTGAGACAATGACATAGCAAACGACAATTTAATTCGAAATAAAATGCTCACATACGTGTCTGGTATTTTCCACTATCCGCCTTTACGAATTTACCAATTTGGAATAAATCATTCAAGTTATTGTTATTATTATTATTCGCAATGGCTGTGAGAGTAGTAGTGGTAAGGGTATGGGTGTTGGTAGTATTGGTTGCGAGACTTCAGGTTTTCACGGCAGCGAATATGAAGATGGCTGTCTCCTGGGTTGTTGCGCCGTGTAGTTTAACAACGTTTCAGATTTGATTGCTGCCTCAATCATCAGCGATCGCCCTGATGATGGCAGCAACCAGGCTGGCCTACTGGACTACACGGCGCAGCAACCCAGAAGACAGCACTCGTATTGGTTGTGACAAGAATTGTTTGCAACTGTTTACTAGTTTCATACATTGTTAAAAACTGTTAAATCAGTTTCGTGGTACATCATAAAATTATCATCCTCTTACACGAGATCGATTGTACTGCAAAGAGAACACCCGATATTTAAATTGCGCGGTCTTGCGTCAAATGTTTTCTATCGACTTTAGGCGAGTTTTCAAAATGGCTGCCGTATAATCAAAATACTGGTTTGTTGGTGGAGTTATTTGTGTTAAATAGTGTTTCCACAGAATGGCAATGTCAAATCTTTACTCAAAAATTGCTCCTAAACCAATAAAGAGGTTTCAGGATAGCATATCGGTTTCCCAAACCAATGCCTGGATGAATGGTAAGCAATTTTTAAAATGTAGTTTACTTTGCCCAGCTTTCTAAATTGCACTGTGCTGTTTACATGATACATAACACAAATTTGCACATTCACTGCCATTAAGTACGAATATTAACGTATTTTCTTAATGTTATTAATTCACAATAATACATTTAGTGCGTTCATGTTTCATAACGGTTGTCAGCTGTACGTGTCCCCTAGGCGAGACTCACCTTAAAGTAAACGGGACGTAAATATTGTCTTCTCTCATATACATGCATGATTCTCTGACTATAATGTCTGAATTACCCAGGTCAGGACAGTGGTATGCGACTTGTGCACACTAAGTTCCAGATGTAAAATACATAAAATCATATTTCTGCATGTGTTCCATCTGTGTAGAGGTGATTTCTTCTTTGTATAATAGACTAAACTAAACATCAGAACTAAATGTGGTTAAATCCCATGGTGACCATCACTGTTGTGTGTTTAATTGTTAGCAGATGTCAAGACAAATGTCAAAGTATAGCTACTCTCCCCCTACAGTGCAGGAATCACTATGATTAGATTAAATTTGTAAGCTTTAACAACATCACTTGTTAATATGAATCACAATGTAAATAAACTGGACTAAGTTCTGTATTGAATGGGTTAAAAGAGCCATGGCAGCAAATAGTAAATTACCATTTACATTCCATATATTATGAGCACAACCATAAAATACCCATCATTCCACAAATGTTATTTTGAAATATATAAAAGCAAATATGAGGAAAATGTTCTAAACTCAACATACCAAACATTTGTTTATTTAGGCCAACCTTTAACTACACATCCCATTTTCCCCACCTTTAACCAATGGAATACAAGCACCTGTAACACTATAAAGGTTTAATATTATAGATCTGTACAATGTTTAGTAGTGCTAAGTAATTTCAGTAATGAAGACTAATAAGAAATGTGCATTTTCATTGTCATTGTTTCTATGTTGCAGCAGAGACTCCAAACAGTGGTGGTCTATCCCTGTCTCCACCTCACAGCATCTCACAACGGGAGGCGATGCAGATCACGCAACCTGCTAGTGCCCCCACGTCCCCACTTGCGTCTCCTAACTTAACAAGCACACCCTTCAGTTTGACTTGTCCTGGTCAATCTACTATAGACCCTAACTGGCAAGCTTCTAAACCTACTGTTAGAGAAAGGAATGCTGCAATGTTCAATAACGAACTTATGGCCGACATTCGCTTTGTTGTAGGAAGCCCAGGTACATATCTCAAGTATTTGTCATTTTTATGAACAATTCTTTCACAGACTAGTATTATCTGGACATATTCAAGAAAATTCTATTGCATAAAATTACAATAGACAATTAATATGGAAGCATGAGAGACACTTCTGATTTCCCTTTGGCATGCATTTAATATGATTACATACTTCTTTATTGTTTCATGTTCATACTAATATAAAATCCCTATACCATTTACACGTGGCTTTTAATAAATTCTGTCCCACAAAATATATTCCAACCAACCAGTTCCATAGAATAAAGCACATGATAAGCTATTAATCATTGAGATAATGAAGAAATTTCCACCTCTGATGGAACCTGAAGGTTCATTACTGTGTTCACAAGGGCCAGCCACTGGTCCCTATCCTGAGCCACTTCAATCCAGTTCACATTCTACTTCCACACTACTTCCTCAGGATCTAAAGTATATTTCTCTTGCATTGTAAAATTCTTTAATGACGGAAGGTACTTAATCACTTATGTTTCTCCTTCTTTCTCTGGTTTTAACAATGTTTGTACATTTTCCGGTACCCTTTACGGGTCCCCAACCTTTTAGTTAGCTTGATCTATGGACATTCGGTAGGACTCCTTGGACAAGGAATCGGCCTGTCGCAAGGCCTCTACCTATTTACAGGACAGCACAACACAGGAAAACATCCATGGCTTGAGTGGGATTCAAACCCACAGTCCCCGCGACCAAGCGGCACAAGACCCACGCCTCAGACTGCGCGGCCACTGCGGACCCCATCACTTATGTTTTAAAAATAAACAACTGTGTAACTGAATTGCTAGGATAATAAAATATGGATAGAGTATTCAGAATTAATACAAAAGTATTTTGCTGTCATCTTATAAGAAATAACTTGACTGAGGGTTTGAGACCACAGTGATCTATGGTACCACATAGCATCATAACCCAGAAGACCACAATCAAAATTTTCAACATTATGAAAACCTCAAATCTCATAAATAAATTATACTCTCCACCAAATATTAGGATGATCAATTCAAGGAGGAAGAAATGGGCTGGACATTTTACATTAGATGAGAAATGCATACAAAATTGTGGACAGGAAATTCTGAAGAGAAGAGAAGAGATGACTTAAGACCTACATTAGATGGGAGGATTTTTAGGTGTATCTTGAAGGCATAGGTTTTGAGAGTAAGGAATGGATTTATCTGGCTTAGGATAGGGTACAGTGACTGGCTTTTCTGAATCTGGTAATGAACTTTCAGGTTCCATAGAGAGGGGTATATTTCTTGTTCTTGAATAGCTGTATGACTATTGCAGTTAAAGTGCAAGCACAACAACCACATCTATAGATACATAGAATTTATAATACGGTAGATTCTGGTTAATTGGGGCAGCCGCTCATTTCGGACAGATCTTAAAGAACAAACCTTTTTAACTCTTTACGTGGAACTTCGCATAATTGGGGCAGTCACTTAATTGGGTCAAAGTTTTCCAGTCCCGATGTGTCCAAATTAACTGGAATACACTGTATATTCTAATAGGATCAGTCTATTATGCCTTGATTAATGTTTCATGTGGTAAAATGTGGCAATGAAAGAGCGAGGGATGAATTTGCTTTGACTAGCAACCTCAAAAAATACAGATAACTTATAACACAGAAAGGTACTTGTGGGTTATCAGGACACATCGCTTTAAAAATAGGTTAGGTTAGGTTAATGTGTGTGGATAAATGACATATACTTGAAAGTTATTATATTTTATTTCAATAAATGACAACTAACCTAACCTGTTTTTAAATTGATGTGTCCCGATAACCCACAAGTACCCACAGAAATTATAATATAATATAAAAAATTAGTTTTCTAGGTCTATACTGTAATTAATATTGGTAAATCTGTTGCTCCATTACAGGGCCACCATTTTCTTAGTCCACATAGACCCTCAGTTTGACTAATTTTATTTTAAAAAACATCTTGAATGTTTGGTTTCATTACTGATGTGAAACATCCTATTACAGGTCATACTCAGTCTATACCAGCACATAAATATGTATTGGCTACAGGTAGCTCTGTATTTTATGCCATGTTCTATGGTGGTTTGGCAGAAAACAAGGAAGAAGTTGAGGTCCCTGATGTTGAACCATCAGCTTTTCTTACTCTTCTAAAGTAAGTAATTCTGTAAGGATAAGGTTGCCAGATTTTCATGCATCC